GATACTCTCATACATGGCTGGTGGAAACACAAACTAGTAAAACCCGACTGGGGGGTGATTTTGGCAATATCATACAAAAACACATATGCATCGGGCACCTGGCTGCCTCAGTCAGTAGAGCATGCAACTCTTGAGCTCAGGATCATGAGTTTAAGCCCCACATGGGACGTGGAGCCTACTTAAAATAAAGATTAAACACACACACACACACACACACACACACACAAAACACATAAGTAAGTACCTTTGGAACCAGAAACCACACTTCTAGGAATCAACCTGGAAGCTAAACTTCCAATGATATTACAAAAATACATATGGGTCAGACTATTTGCTTTTGTGTTATTTACAACCACAACACATTGAAAACAACCTAAAAGCCTAAACAGAAGAAAGTCACTGAATAAACAATGGCACATCCACATATAGGAGTACTAAGCAGTCACAAAGCAATGAGGAAGCTCTCTATCTGCTGTAAGAAGTAATTTCCAGGATAAATTATTAAGGGAAAACAGCAAGGAGTAATTGAGAATCTAAGATATGCTAAGGTTCAATGTAAGAATGGGACCTCATAAAAGTATCTATGTAAACGAAATTAGGAAGAATAAACCAGAAACTGATGGGATCACTTACTTTGAAGGAGTGGGAATAGGGTAGAAAAAATGAGACCAGGGTATCAAAATTGAAGGGGGGGGGGTGGTGCCTGGGTGGTTCAGTTGGTTGAGCATACGACTTTGGTTCAGGTCATGATCTCGTGTTTTGTGGGTCCCAGCCCTGCATCAGGCTCTGCATTGGCAGTGTGGAACCTGCTTGGGATTCTCTCTCTCTTTCTCTTTCTCTCTGGCCCTCCCCCACTTGCACATGCTCTCTCTCCCAAAATGAATAAATAAAAACAAAACAAAATTGAAAGGGCAACAACACTTCATGAGAATTCTTTTTTTTTTTTTTAATTTTTTTACATTGATTTATTTTTGAGAAACAGAGTGAGACAAAGCCTGAGCGGGGGAGGGGCAGAGAGAGAGGGAGACACAGGATCAGAAACAGGCTCCAGGCTCCGAGCTGTCGGCACAGAGCCCAATGCGGGCTCGAACCCACAAACTGTGAAATCATGACCTGAGCCGAGGTCGGACGCTCAACCGACTGAGCTACCCAGGCGCCCCATGAGAATTCTTTTCTGTATAGTTCTTACTCTTAGAACCACTGTAATAGTTCACATGCACCTGAAATAAATAAATAAATATGAAACAGGATGTAGGGCAGGAGAGGTGCCTAAAATAACAAATTGAGCTAATTCTACAAAAAAATGGATAATATAATCACATTGAAGAGGATGAAGAAGAACTAAACAATTCTAGAAAACATCATTTTGACTGGACACTGTACTGCTAAAGGCAAAGAGAACTGTGCAAATATTGTATTCTGGATAGTAAAATTTGCTTCCCATAGAAAAAGAGGTTGAAAATTTTGAAATGAGTCCAAGCAAAATCCACACTGGTGGCTGCAGAAAACCGAGTGAAAATTGGAAGAGAAATAGGTTATCTGCATTGTCTCAAAGTTTCTCCCCCAAGATGTTTATCAATTAGAAAGGAAAAAATAGGAGGTGTCTGGGTGGCTCAGGTCATGATCTCGCAGTCTGTGAGTTCAAGCCCCGCATCGGGCTCTGTGCTGACACGCTGAGCCTGGAGCCTGCTAAGGATTGTTTCCCTCTCTCTCTGCCCTTTCCCTGCCTGCTCTGTCTCTCTCTCAAAAATAAAACAAAAACATAAAAAAAAAAATTTAGAAAGGGAAAAATAGTCACTTTACAGTAGAGAAACCTGGCAGATAGTACCTTAACAGAATGTTTAACATTGACAGCAACAGTAACAACACATATCTATGTCATGGACCCTCTAATATGCACTGAGATCATGCCATCCCTTCTGTGGGACTGTCACCAAAAATGAACAAAAATGTACTTATCAGTAAATAGCAGTCCAGTAGCAGACTTCAGGAATATCTGAAATAATAAATGCAAGTTTCAAGGATGTGAAAAACCAGAAAGCCCATGAAACTGTCACGGATTGGTAAAGACTAGAGAAACATTTTGACTAATACCAAATGGCATCCTGGATTTGATCAGAGAACAGAAAAAAAGGCATTTGTGGAAAACTGGTAAAATCTGAACAAAGTCTATGATTAAATAGTATTAATAGTATGGTACAAACGTTCATTACTTAGTTTTGATAAATGTACTTAAATAAATACTGTCTTTAGAGGAAGCCAAAATACGGTGTTCTTTCCGTCTGGCCAGGTGCAATTCAGCAACTGGGTCAATTTTACCGTAAATAATGAGACTGATTAACATAGTCGACACATTCTGGTTTGTCTGTTTTTAAGGACGCAGAGTTAGAAGACCAAATCCTTATACAGAATGGGAAAGTGTTTTGTTAATCCTTTGCCCAGATCACCCAAGGGTTTTCATAATGTTGTAAGAATATTATAGTTTTTTGGGTTTTTTTGCAAGTAACCTCTTCATTCACTGAGATGTAGGTGTTTGTAAACTTATCCATAGAAGCATATTGGAATGGCCCTGTGCTTAATTCACTGAAACTAAACTGGGCCCAATGTGTCCTTCAACTAAAGTCTTCCTTAAGATATGTGTCTGTTAACATAAGTGTAGAAGCATACGAGAAAAGAGCTGGCGCCAATATAGTTTTACTGACATCAACTCTTTGAGTTTCCCAGCACAATTCCAACATGGTGGTGGAGAAGCACTCCCCTCCTTTCCTCCCCTCCCTACCTCCCACCCCCAGCACCAAGAATTCTCTGATACCAGCAGGGTGTCTGAGAATTCAACTCAATTCTGACACAACCTACCTGGAGATAGCATCAGATTCCACAGGTTAAGGGCTCAATCCCTACAAGACTGCTTTCCATCCCCCACTCAGACACCAGTCACAAGCCCCAGGCTGTTTATTACCTGTGCTTCTGACCAAACAGCTATAGATTGGAGGTTCCAATGACCTCCTCCTTAGGTTCTTTTAATTTGTTAGAGTGGCTCATAGAACTCAGGGAAATGTGTACTTATGTTAATCAGTTTATTAAAGGATAGGAATCAATAGTCAGATGAAGAGGTACATAGGGCAAGCTTGGAGCTTCCATGTCCTCTCCAGGTGTGCCACTATCCCCATATCTACACTTGTTCACCAACCCAGAAGAACACAGTCCTTCTGGTTTCTATGGAGACTTCACTGCATAGTCATGACTAACTCATTGGCCATTGGCTAATTCTACCTCCAGCTTCTCTCCCCTCCCAAGAGTCTGGGGGTTGGGACTGAAACCCTCCAACACATGGTTGGTCCTCCAGCCCCTGCCCTTGGGGTGGGATCCAGAAGTCACCTTGATTTTTTTAATTAAAAAAAATTTTTTTTAATGTTTATTATTTTTGAGAGAGACAGAGCTTGAGTGGGGGAGGGGCAGAGAGAGAGGGAGACACAGAATCCCAACCAGGCTCCAGGCTCTGAGCAGTCAGCACAGAGCCCAATGTGGGGCCTGAACTCGTGAACTGTGAGATCATGACCTGAGCTGAAGTCAGACGACCAACCAACTGAGCCACCCAGGCGCCCCATAATTTTTTTTTAATGTTTATTTATTTTTGAGACAGAGATAGAGGATGAACGGGGGAGGGTCAGAGAGAGAGGGAGACACAGAATCTTTAGCAGGCTCCAGGCTTTGAGCTGTCAGCACAGAGCCCGATGGGGGGCTCAAACTTACGAGCTGTGAGATCATGACCTGAGCTGAAGTCGGATGCACCTTACATGATCAAATCAAGAAAAAAACTGGAAAAAAAATATATATAATTGGTGATTAATGGTGGGGGGGCAGGGAGGGAGAAGGACATGATGACAACACACCACGGGTAATTTTATTTTTCTTGTTCATTAATTTAAAATTTTTTTTAACGTTTATTCATTTTTGTGAAGCAGGGGAGAGGCAGAGAGAGAGGGAGACACAGAATACAAAGCAGGCTGCAGGGCTCCGAGCTGTCGGCACAGAACCCAATGCGGGACTTGAACCCACGAACTGTGAGATCATGACCTCAACTGAAACCGGACGCTTAACCGACTGAGCCATTCAGGCACCTGGCTTGTTCATTAATTCTTTAGGTTACTGGATTCTCCTGCAACAGTCAGATATAATTCCTACCTGGAAATACAGCATCAATATTATCCAACATATCTCTTAAAGTAAAATTATAGGGAGAATCTTTCCACTTATAAAGTAAACTATGAACTCTAACTCTGAATTGGAAAAACAATGTTATTGAAATAAATTTCACCTACCATTTCTGGGACAATCCTTGAGTAATATCATCAGTATAATTCAAAAGTTTCACTATCAAGATTTTTCTGTGGATGAACATAATTCAGGTAAGTGGAATTAGCAGAGTGAATGAATGTGTAAAAAGCAGATAGAAAAGAGTTTTATACACAGTAGATTCTCAATAAATGTAGATACAGATGTCTCCTTCACACATATATAATTAAAATGCCATTTTGGATACAAACCTTGCAAAATGTCTTATATAACTCTCTAGTGTTAAATGAGATTCATACATAATTTAAAAATGCTTTTGAGTAATACTTTTCATAGCTATGAATATTGCTTCATATTACCTTATATATTTTTCCTTCTTATGAAGAATCTTTATAAGTATAATTTCATTAGCTGTACGTTATTTTATCTCATGTATGTATATAGTATGTAGTGGGATTTACTCAACCATTTCTGTAATCTTGAACATTTTATACAAGATTGTACCCATTATTACCATTTTGTTTCCAAACCAATATTTCTGAATTAATTTGGTTATATTTACCTTTGATAATCAGTAAATACACATTTCTGAATACCATTTCAAGTGATCTGTGGGCCCCTGGAAAGCTCATAAGAGCAATCAAAGAATTGAAGATCAAGAACCTCTGTTTTTAACCAGTTGAGCCTCTGGATAATTTTCTTACCTTGCAAATAACCATCAATTACCTTCATATTGTCGTTACTATTGGACCCTGAAGGGGAATCACCCAGAATCACAACAGTTAATATGTATTGAACACTCCTATGTTCCAAGCTCTGTTGCCATGAGCTTTACATTTTTATCTTTGTTATATCCCTATGATGTATGTACTGTTATAACGTACATCTGAGCACCGTGGAACACAGAGGCTGTGTGGACACACCAAGCTCATACAGCTAGGAAGTGGCAGGGCCAGGATTCAAACCAAATATTGGATATTCAGGACCCATCCTCCTCAATATCACACCATGTTGCCCCTCACAACCCACACAATGGTATACCTGAAAACACTCAGGCTGCCAGACCACAAGTTAACACCTGACTAGTACTACTAATTATAACTTAGAGATCACCTGAACACATTCCTTCCACCGTTGGCACAGATCTCTATCCTCAAATTCCCAATTATAATCCCCCTTCCAAAAGCTTCACAAAGCCGATGCCTTTGTCATTTGCTGATTAGTAGGCCTCTGCAGAAAATCAAAGATATCTGGTGTGTGATTCCCCATAAACCCTGCTGCCTTGCTTAATCACCAACTAAAATAAAGACCAACTGTATAATTCAAATGACATTCAATTAATATGTGATTATTACCTGGAGAAGACAGAGAAAATAAGAGCCACTGTTGAGGGAGGATTTACCTCGATGACTTCCATCATGGACTGGGGACGGGAGGCGTAAGGTTACCTAGCCCACTTCAGACAAAGAAAATCAAATGTTCCACACCCAAATAAAAATTTTGTGGGGCGCCTGGGTGGCTCAGTCGGGTAAGCATCCAACTTTGGCTCAGGTCATGATCTCATGGTTTGTGAGTTCGAGCCCCCACATTGGGCTCTGTGCTGACAGTGCAGAGCCTGCTTGGGATTCTCTAATTCCCTTTCTCTCTCTCTGTCCCTCCCCCAAACCAGTCAAAAATAAATAAATATTAAAAAAATTTTTGTGTGTGAACAGGAAACTCACCTGAAGTTTGATTTTTTTTTTTTTTTTGGCATCAACAATATTTAACGTGCATTACAGTGCAACATCTCTTTCCTACTCCTTGTGTTGCTTCTTTTGGAGAATGGCAAGAATGGAGAAGTGAATCATAACCTCACATACAAACCCGGAAACAGAAGGGGTGCTGAAACCTGTATTTGATTTCACTGTGGGTGCCTGGGGTCAGACCTGTGGCAATGCTGCCGTCATGGACTTGTAGCTGTTCCCACAGGCACCAAGGGCAGGGCTTCCACCAGAGTGTGTGACTCTGATGGCCCCATAATGTCTTTACAAGAGCCTGGTCTAAGGGGCACCTTGAGGCTCTAAAACTTACTACCCCAAGTTGAGGTGTGTGCTTTCTTGCTGGAAACCTTCATTTTATGCTAGTGCAAAATGTGACCTCTCTTAGGGTCATTTCTTTGTTGCAGCTGCACAGTGGCTGTGCAATGAGAGGGTAGAGGAGCCAGTACATAACCACTGGGCACAGAGACACGCATAGAGGCCACAACGCATGCTCACATAAAGGCCATTCTTCCTAGTCAAAGGCACACAATCACACACTCCTTTGGGGGTCACAACGGCATAGACCGTCACCGGAGTCCCACCCGGGCCTGTTACACGCATAGACACGCACACCGCACGCTCGCTCCCACCCTCGGTGACCCTGTCTCACAATCCCCTCTTTTGCTTCTCAGGCACATGCAAATGTGACACATTGTGTCTACCCACTAGGCCCTCTGACCTAGCGCAGCTCTAAACTTTCGACCTCTAATCTCACTGCAGGTTTAGGTCTGGCATCGACTATGGGTACAGGACATCCCGCGGTGGTTTCTTCCTTTGACACCACCATCGCACCTTGTGGCCCCATAATCCCCAGGGTACCACCCATTCCCCGCCCCCCTCCCCCCCATTAATTCGGCCTCAGTGACCTCTGGGAAATGTGGCCTTCAAGAGAATTCTTGGTTGGCTGTGGGCGCCTCATGTTCAAAGGACTTTACTGCATTTTGGACCCGCCCCTAAACAAGCCAAGCCGCGTCTGCAAAGAGCTGCTGGCGCTTCCTGCTGAGGCTGCAACAGTAAATCGGCTGGTCTTTCCAGAAAGCCAAAGGGGACTGTGGAGTCTGAAGCCGTGTAGGCATGTCTGGGGCCTCGGGCAGCTGTCCAGTGCTATCCTAATGACCAGGGGTGTGTGGGAGGAACCCGGAGTGTGGCGGCCATCCTCCAGGTGAGAGCCTCGCCACCTCAAGGTACTTACTGTATTTCAGTCTCTGGTGCTGCCCCTATTCCTGGACTAGGTGCCCTACAGATAAGGATTTTTCTCAGATAGCCTTGGATGGATTTATTGACTAGGAAAGCTCATTATGTAATGTGCCAGAAATTGGGGTTTCCCTATGCCTCTTGGGTACAGGTTTTTGACAGATTTCAAACCTCAAATCCAAGCCATTCCTTTATGTGCCAAGGAGTGTGACTGTGCAATATAAAAACCTACTTTTCAAAAACACTGTCAGGGTTTAACTGTCAGGGTTTAAAGCGTGAAGGGCAGTGATCTTAAACTTTACTTTCCTCAACACAAGGAACTGAATTCTATTATTATTCCTATTTTGTAGAAGTTGGTTAAATAACCTGCCCTATATCATACATTTCTAGTATGCTATGGAATCCATATTTGAAACCATGGCTGAAAGACCACAGCCTGACTCTTAATTCTTACTATGCATATAGAGCTTCTCAAACGTCCGTTGACAAACAGCAATAGCACTACAAGTTAGGTGCTGTTTTTACCTCATTTCAGTGACAAGAAAACCAAGGCTCACTAAGGTTCAGTTAAATATCTGGAATCTTCCAAATACTAAGTGAGCACAGCTGGGAACAAAATAGTATCTTCCTAATTTCAGATACAATGTTGAGGGCAGTCAATGCAAAACAATGACCCAACAACAAATACATGTTAGGCAGTTTGTAGGGCCTCTTTTTTTTTAAGATTTCAGTAAGGCTTGGGCTCCCAGGTGGCGCAATCAGTTAAGCTTCCGACATTGGCTCAGGTCATGATCTCATGGTTTGTGTGTTGGGATCCCTGCATCCGGCCCTGAGATGATAGCTCTGAGCCTGTAGCCTGCTTCAGATTCTGTGTCCCTCTCTCTCTGCCCCTCCCCCACTTGTACTCTGTCTCTATCTCTCAAAAATAAATAAACATTTAAAAATTTTTTTTCAAAAGGCTCTTGGAGTGTGGGTATCTGTATCTCAAATTTGAAGATGAGAAAATTGATAGATAACTATCAAGATCAAATCAGTGTTTAAGGATAGATACAGATTGGAACCCAGGTGTTTCTAAATTCAATGCACAGGTCACAGTCAGGTCTCATCCTTTCTCCTCATTCAGGAGAACTCAAATCTCCGCCATTATCAAGGCAAACTTTTAATTCACCCTTTTGTTTATATAAATGCCTAAGAATAAGGCTTCCCACCCCCAGCTCCAACCTTAAACACTATCTCCACACATCTTCTTTCACTGGAACAGAGCCCCCATGAAGGCAGAGACTTTGTCTATTCCACCATTATGTTCTCATCAACTAGAATAGAGCCTTCTGTGTATTGGGTGTTCGTTAATTAGATTCAAAGGAATTAACATTCCTGTGATTTCCCCTTCACCTCTTAACTATCCTTTCTTGCCCCCTGGCCTTCCAAGTCTCTGTATCTGGAATCTGCTCTGAGTGATCTCTCTCCATTTACCCACAGCTTGAGAAGTTCACCTGGATAATAATGAACAGATAACACATCAAAATTTGTGACATTCAGCTAAAAAAAGGGGGGGGGGCTTAAAGGGAGTGGCTAAAATTCAGAATACTGAAAATAAGTGACAAAGATGTGGAGTCACTGGAACTGTGACACATTAATAGGAGACTATGAAATAGGTTTAAAAATTGGAAAACAGCTTGGCAATTCATTCTAAAGTCAAGTACATGGGGCGCCTGGGTGGCTTAGTTGGTTAAGCTTCCGACTCGGCCCAGGTCATGATCTCATGTTTCATGAGTTTGATTCCTGCATCAGGCTCTGTACTGCAGGTGCAGAGCTTGCTTAGGATCCTCTCTCTCCCTCTCTCTCTGCCCCTGCCTGGTTCGTGCATACACATGCACTCTCTCCCTCCAAAATAAAATAAACTTAAAAAAATAAAATAAAGTCAAACACATAACTATCATACTACCTAGCAACTTCATATCTAAGAGTTTACCTAAGAGGAATAAAAACTTGGACTCACCCAAAAACTTTCACAGCAATGGTCTTAACAGCTTTCATTATAATAACACAAAACTGAAACAACCAAAATGTCAACAGGAGAAAGGATGAATACATTATGATATATCCATATAATGGAATACTATTCAACCATATTTTGGATTGAACTGATACATGCAACAACATGGATGAATCTTAAAATAATTATGCTGAATGGAAGAAATAAGACAAAGTACATATTGTTCAATTCTATTTACATACAAATCTAGAAAGTGCAACCTAATTTATTAACAGACACTAGATCAGTAATTGCCTGGAAGCAGAGTGGGAGGGGCCAGGGAGGGCTGGGAGGGAAGCATTGCAAAGACTTTTGGGGACAGTGAATTTGTTCATTTTTCTGATTATATTCATTATCTATATATGAATATATACACATTTCAAAATTAATCCATTTGTACCTCTGTGTGGTGATGGATGTTAACCAGACTCATTGTAGTAATCATTTCACAATGTAAACAAATATCAAATCATTATACTGTATACCTGAAACTAATACACAGATGCTCCTTGACTTATGATGGGGTTACATCCTGATAAGCCCACTGTAAGCTGAAAATCTCATAAATCAAAAATGCATTTAATACACCTAACCTACTGAACATCACAGTTAGCCTACTAACTCAGAATACTTACATTAGCCTACAGTTGGGCAAAATCATCCAACACAAAGCCTACATTATAATAAAGTGTTGAATATCTCATGTAATTTACTTAATACTATATTGAAAGTGAAAAACAAAATGGTTGTGTGGGTATTGCTTTCACACAATCATAAAGTTGAAAAATTCAGTTGGGAACCATGTATAATGTTATATGTCAATTATATCTCAATTAAAAAAATTGAATCCAACTGTATGCTTTAAATATGTGCCATGTACTACATGTCAATAGAGATGTTGTTAAAGACATGGTATTATAGTCTTAAATGAACATAGATACAATACATATCTATGTACATACATATCTATGTACAATACATATATGACAACTATAATATAGAAGATAGGGGCTATAAATGGACCTATGCATTGCAAGGTTCTTACACTTTATGTGAAGTGGTTCAATATTAACTCTAAGTAGACTGTGAATAATTTAGAATATATATTTTAATACAGACAGTGACCACTAAAAATATGCACAAAGCATAGTGAAAAACAAGTTAAAATGGAATTTTAAATAAGTATTTAATGCAAGAGAAGACAAAGTTGAGACACAAGGGAACAAAAGTCAGATGGAAACAAAATAAAATGGATTACTGTGTCAGTAATTACATTAAATGTAAATGGACTAAACACTACATTTGGAAAAAAAAAAGACATTGTCACAAGGGATAGAAAAACAATAATTTGAGAAAACTAAGGGATGTCTTCAGTCCTCAAGTTCTTTATGTTAAATCCTATCACACAGTTTTCTTGTTTTGACAAATATTTTGAATGACTGCATAGCATTCTAACTTAAGAATTATAATTAATCATCTTGAGATGATTAGGTGTATGCATTAGGTTGGACAACATTTCTAGGGTCTTTACACAGTTCTTGATCTCTGTTAACTTACTAATTATGATTTTATTCTCTTTTATGGCCATCAACAATCCCTCACTTAACACTCTTCTGGTTTCTGAGTTAGAGGATACTAAGATTGATCCAGAATTATATCAGTCAGTTAGTTTCAGCCTATCTAGTCAGCAGTAGTCATGATATTTATCATTTAGAAATTCCTTACTAAAACCCATGATCTACAGGTGCCTGGGTGGCTCAGTCAGTTGAGTATCAGGCTTATCATCCACTGACAGCGTGGAACCTATTGGGATTCTCTTTCCTTCTCTCTCTGCCCCTTCCCTCCTCATTCTCTCTCACAAAATAAAATAAAAACTAATAGTAAAACCCATGATCCATATATTTGCAAGTTCTAAATCACATGTCTATTCAATTTTAAAAGCCTCACAAAGTATTAATCTCAATCTACACTAAGACAGATACCATTTATTACCAGGCTTTGTCACATGTACCTAGAAAACTCATGTCTGTGAGAATGTCAGAATCTTCAGAAGTTTGGCCATATGGGATCCTCATCTCTAATTCATCAACTACAATCCTGACTTGCAAAGCTCAAATCATTTCTTTACAGGACTTTACTTTTTCATTCTCCCTTCACTGCTCTTAAAATAAGTTAGGCACAGAGGAGATAATGAATACTCTGGTCAGTATATACATAAACACTGGTTGGAGGAGACTGGGCCACATACGGAGAACATGAGGTTATCTGGAACCATTGTTCATAATTGACTGGGGTTCTTTTAGGTAGGAAGCTTCTAGGACAACTAATGAAA